CTCCTCCTTGTTCCAGGACCACCACCCAGGCCTGCAATCCAGATCCAAGCATGGGTAGAACAAGAGAATCCTGCCTCAGCACCAGCAAAAAGATCCCTGCAATCCTCCTCTAATCAACCATTCCATCCTCCCACAGTCTGTGAGACCTCCAGAAGAAGCCATCACCCTGGGGTTGCAACAGGGCTGGGGCCAGACCTCGCTCCTCTCTCACCGAGGTCCAATAGACCTTTCCTATTGACCTTCTAAGTTGTCTTTGGTGTTTGTGGGTTAAGAAGTCTGGAAACTGCCACAACTGCCAGTGATTTAGTCCCCTGAACTTCGCTCCTCTCCCGGCCTGGTGCAACAGACTTTTCCCATTGACTATCCAGGTTGTCTTGGGCTGGAAACTTGTTTCACTGTCTTTCTGTGGGTTCTGCTGCTCTAGAATTTGTTTAGAGTCATTTTTACAGGTATTTGGAAGGATTTGAGAGAGAGCTTAAACAAGTCATTGCTTTTACTCTGCCATCTTGGCTCTGCCCCTTAAGCCTCAGTTTCCTTATCTGTAAAATGGGAATAATACTACCAGCACGACCTCACAGGATTATTGTTTGAGGAAAGAACCTCATAAACCTTAAACTCCTAAAGAAATGGATATTATTATGATGCTAGCAGAAGGATCAAGCAACAGTAGCCAAGATGATGCTCTACAAATACATCTTCTGTGCTCAGCCTGACATACCTTCAAGAGACATATTATAATTTTATCTTAGGCAACAGGGTTCTTTCAGCCAGTATCCAGAGTACTTTCCCTAGCTTCCATCTTATAAATTCTATTTACCACCTGTCCCTTGTTTGTAATACCTCTGAAAAATTTACTGACACAATTTTCTGGAGGAAAATGCCATCACATTCTTCTTCATAGGTTTCCAGAAGCCCAATAATTCTCAAGATTTCCCATTCTTGATCTATCTTCCAGAACTGTCACTTCCATCTGAGCTGCTTTCCAATCTTTGTCCAATTGAGTTATTTTGTAGGGTTATTTCTTTTGTGTTTTCACCTTACCTTGTCATTCCATCAACTTCTTGAGGAATTTTATTTGGTAGTATTATATTATTTGGTAGCAATTTTAAAATTCTAAGCCTCTAAGAAAAAAATCCATTTAAACAAACAAGCTCTCAAATGATCATGTATAAAACCATAAGCTCCAAATTGTCCATGTTTTCTAAAGTATGTATCAACAAAACAACAAAAATGTACTACCTGCTTCCTTTCGATCTTTTTTGTGTGTGCATTCAGATTTTCTGCTGTAAATTTTTTTACATCATCATAGTCAGTCTGCATAATGGAGTTTTAATACTGTTTTCTTCTGTTGAGGAATTTCTGGCTTTTGATGATACCTCTTTCTTTAGAGGTTGCTGACTGGTCCTTTATTTATTTATTTGTTTGTTTTGCGAGGCAATTGGGGTTAAATGACTTGCCTAAGGTCACACAGCTAGTAAGTGTCAAGTGTCTGGTCTCAGACTGGATCTGAACTCAGGTCCTTCTGACTCCAGGCTCGGTGCTCCATCCACTGCACCACCTAGCTGCCCCTGACTGGTCTTTTAATTTTTTTAAATGTCTTTTCATTGGGTTAGAGCTTTTCTCTGGCTCACTAATTTTTGATATAACCTATTTTGGGCATTTCCCATGACTTTCCTTTTTTTGTGCATGTGGCACTTCTACTGCTATTTGAGATGGGGGGGGATATTGAGGAGGTGGGCTCTTTCGTAGCTTCTTACTCTAACATCTTCTTCCAGGATCCAAATGAGACCTTGGCGCTTTCAAGTGCTCTGGATGGTCTATATCTTCAACCCAGGGAGCACCGATAAACCACAAGACCATATTCTGTGGCAGGGGAGTTTGTCTGGTTTCCCAATCAATATTTCAATTTTGATGCACTGGAGATATCTCTGGCACATTGTAATATACAGGTTTTCCTTTCTTCTCTCCATTAATCTATAATCTGAAAGAAGTTAGTTTGTGGTACTCAGGGTAAATGGAGAAGGAAGGGATAGCATGTGAAGAAAACAGCCAGGAAGTAAGACGTATGGACAGGGAAGAAGAATAGGGAGAGTAGAAAGGAAAACACCCACTGTTGTGGTTTGACAAATTTTTAGGTGTGTCGTAGGCTGAAAAAGACTAGTGCGATAGACATACGAATGGCTCTTACAGTAGTATCACCCAAGACTTACTATCAGTTCAGCAACAGTACTTCTCATGCTTGGATAGAAAGACTCACCAGAAAACACTGAGGTAATTGCTGAGTCAGTAGACTGGAGGTGGCGTCATGGGCAAGTTACATGAAATTATGGGAACTACAAATGGAATAAGATGGTTTTGCTCAACACTCTACATATTCTTCACTGGTCTTCAAAAAGGGCTTCGATGACCCAAATGGAGACAGATAATCGCTGTGAACAGCTGTGGAGTGAGAGTGAGAAAGCCCTGCTCCGTGACTCACAGGCTCAAGTTCTGACAGACTATGAAGCACCAAGCGAGGCTCTCCTTGCACACAGCATGAAAGTCTCCCATTTCCTCCTTCCCCATTAACAATCCAATATGTTCCCCCCCCCCCCCCGAGCAGAGCGCTTTGCCAGAGTAGCTTCAGTGCCTGCCTGCTCCTCATCATGGGGCTTCCCTGCTCTTTCCTTACTTCCCTCGAACTTTCAGCCATAATCCTAATTTTCAGCATCGCCGAGAGGGGCGAGGCCCATAGGTGGGAGACAAACAAGTCTGATGGCAAAGAACATGAAGCCTGTTTTCAGACTTTTTTCAATGTATTAATCAGTTATGCTGTATTTTTTTCCTTTTCCTTTCTGTCTTACAAACATATTTGTTATATAGGATAGCTCTCTTTGAGAGGGGGAGAGGAAGGGATACTAGGGAATATTTTGTTGATGTAAAAATATATCAATTAAAGCTTATTAAAAAAAGAGAATGTGAGAGATATATTGTTTTTAGAGAAACCACTTTGAGACTCAGGAAGTTCATATTCTTTCTCACCCAAGTCTATGCAGCTTGGGTCAAAGCTGAATAATCTTGATAACTGACGCTTGTGATCTGAAACGAAAGTATAAATCTTTCCAAAGGGATACACTATAACCTGAACACCAACCTGAACCTACCTTCTAACTTGTAGCTTTGAAACAATAAGGCTCCTGTGCCCCATAACGAACCTATGAGCTACCCTGGGATTTGTAAACAACGTATTCAAGAAATATCTTGGACTAAAACAGGTTCTATGAATTGTAGCATCCCAATAAGCACACAGCTCAAACAAATAATGCACTAGTGACTATTATGTCAATCCAAAAACAACATTTACTCAAGGTCTCCTATGCTCAAAGAAAGCCACCAATAAAGAGTTGGATAACTCCCAAGCCCACTAGTCTGCACAGGATCTGAAGACAAGTCACAGCCTCTGTCCTTTAATAGTTAAAGCCTAACACCAAAATGTAGCAAAGTGAAAGACCTTCTCTGCAACAATATTTTTAGCCCTCTACTGTGGGATCAGACCTCATTCTAAATCGTTTCTATGTAACTGTCCCTAACTTGCATTGGACAAAAAAAAGTCATCCCCTCTGTGACCAACCTTTGGAATAATGTGCCACTCTGTATTTAGCAAATAGTCTGTTGCTAGGTCTATGCTCAAATTTTTTCTAGCCTGACTGGCCCTGCCAAAGAGTTTGAACTCCACTGGCAGAGCACAGAGGTGACTCTAAGCTCCCACAGGTTAGAAGTACATACCAGAGCAGAAACTGTGTGGAGGACTCACAATCTGTAGTCCCTGATCAACGAGATCACAGATCTAAAGATTCAATACAACAAAAATACTTTGGCAAGCTACCCAAAGCAAACAGATGCCATGTCCTTGTTCCATCTTACCAGCACCCACATCAGCTCACTAGCTCTAGTTCTTGCACAATCCTGACTATCTTATCTCTGTGATACATTGGCCAGGTTGCTGCATCCAGGTCTTAGGACCTGGATTCAAAAGCTGGCTTTACCACTTACTACCTATGTAACTCTAGGTAAGTTGTTTCACCTTTCTGGGCCTCAGTTTCCTCATCCGTAAAATCAGGGGCTGGACTTTAAGGTTCTAGGATCCCTTCCTTCCAGAGGGGCTTGAGATTTTCATAATATTTCGGCCTCTCATCATGCCCCCTTTAGTCAATATTTGGCTTCAGAGAGAAGGCTAGTTTTGCCTTTGTGAAACAAGAGAAAGAAGCTCCAATATTACTATTAGCCCCTGGCCTTCCATTGATTTCTAAGTGGAAATGGGATGGCACTGATTTGTCAACTACTGAAGTGGAAGATAAACACAGCATGGAAGAGAGCAATGACCACCAGATGAAGCCAGAAGTCTGGATCTCAGGCAGCTGACTACATTAGAAGGAGGAGGATTTGAAGTCACATGCCTGAAGATCTCAGGTCTACCACTCACTACCTGGGATCAGAGGCAAGTTACTCTTCTCCTCTCTTGGATTCAATTTCTTCTGTGAAATGAGGAAGGTAGACTAGATTATCTCTGAGTTCCCTCCCAGTGATAAATTTTATTAAGCTTTTGTGGAAAGACCACTGGATCTTAACCCTGGCTCTGCCATGACTTCTGCACAAGCTTAGGCAATTCACTTCGTCCCTCTAGACCTCAATTTCCTTTGTACAATAAGGCAGTTGGACCACGTCTCAGGATCAGAGACTTGGAGTTGGATGGAACCTTGGACTGAATTATCTCTAGGGTCCATCCCAGTTCTAAAATTCTATGATACAAAGGCATTTCTTCCCAGCCTTTAGTTTTCTCATCTGTGAAGTGGACTATGTGAGGATTAAGTACCTCTTAATAATCAAGTGTGCTACTGGGAGTAACAAAATCCATCTTGTCCAGCATGACAAAAATCTATCCTCTAAAAGGCATGAAGCTATACTCAAAAAGACTGAATGACTGTCAAACATCAAATATCTCAAATGACATTTGTATTTACCTTTAGCCGCTGATTGAAAGCATCAAACAGTAGTTTGATTCCGTCCTGAGTCAGGTTAAGGATGAGGTCATGACTAAGAGGGGCCTGCAAGACAAAGAGAAAACAACATGAGGACTTCACTCATCCAAACAGGACTTATAAAGCACTTATTCTGTGTTTATACTCTGGCACTAGGAGCTGAGGGAAATACAAAAGCAGACAAGCAGTAGGCCCCGTCCTCAAGGAATCTCACAGACCAATAGATTTGGACACTAAGAAGTGGTGCTATTTATATGAAATACGTTGTTTTCAACCAGCAATGTTATTTCCACAACACTCGTTGGTAAGATATTTATGTACCTAATTTTCATAAAACTATATTCCATTTTGCTCAACTTATGCAGAAATGACACATTTTTATTCTGATTTCACCACTTTTGGTCAAATGCTACAAGGAAAGAAGCCATACGCAGATTCTTATTGTTGCAACTGAAAACTGTCCTCTCTTAATTGCCAAATCTAACAGTTTTTTCCTCAAATCTCCAATGCTCTTGAACTCTGTGCAGACTCTGAACTATCAGTCACCTTCTTCTCTTGGATACTCTCTCCTCTCTAAATTTCAAGACAACACTCTCCCCTGGTTCTCCTACCTGTCTGACTATTCCTTTGCAATTCCCTCTGCTGAATCTTCATGCAGGTCACACTCACAAACCCAGATGTCTCTCAAGATCTGTCCCGGGCCCTCTTTCTCCCACTATAGTATTTCACTTGGTGATGTCACCAGCTCCATGGATTCAATCATCATCTCAAGACTGATGACTTTTGGATGACTGAACCTATTATCTTTCCCCCTAAATCCTCCTTTCTTTCAAACTCCCCTCTTACTGTTGAGGGTACCACCATCCTCCCAAGTCACTCAGGCTCAAAACCTAGGTATCATCCCGGACTCCCTCCTTTCTCTCATTCCCCATATCCAAAGAGTTGCCAAATACTGCCAATTCTATCAGGCATATATGCCCCTTTCTTTCCTTTCAAATTGCCACCACCCTGGTGCAGGCCCTCATCACCTTATACCTGAACTATTCAATAGCTTTCTGGTTGATATCCCTACCTCAAGTCTCTCCCAATTACAGTCCACCCTCTACTCAGCTGCCAAAATGACCTTCCTAAAATGCAGCTCTAACTATGTTGCCTGCCTCCTGTTCAATAAACTCCTGAGGCACTTCATTACTTTTAAGATCAAACACAAAATCCTGTTTGGCTTTTGAAGCCCTTGCCACTTTCCCAGTCTTCTTATACTCAGCCATATGCCTTATAGTCATACATACACTACGTGGTCCAGTAACTCTGGCCTTCTTGCCGTTGCTCCATCTCTTGAGTCTGTGCCTTTTCACTAGCTGCCTCTTGTGCTAACAAGGGTCTATATCCTGGTCCTCTTTTTTTGGGAGGGTTGGTATCAGAGCCCAGTCACCCATTCAAAAAGTGTTAACACATACTATGTGTGTTCTGCCCTCAGGGACCTACAACCTAGTAGAGAAGATCATACAAGTGTATACATATATAAACACACACACACACACACACACACACCCCCATAACATAAGGTCCACTATTACAAAAGAGACATACGGGCAGCTAGGTGGTGCAGTTGATAGAGCTCCAGCCTTGGAGTCAGGAGGACCTGAGTTCAAATTCAGCCTCAGACACATAACACTTACTAGCTGTGTGACTCTGGGCAAGTAACTCAACCCCAATTGCCTCATATATAAAGAGGCACACAGCGCTTCAAATTTTCAAAGGAGAAAGAAATCACTTCTAATTTAAGAGGTAGGAAGAAGGCAGAATCAGAAAAGTTTTCATGAAGGTATCAGCATTTGAGCCCAGTGTTGGTAAAACGAGGATAATATTTATAGTACCTACCTCACAAGGCTGTGGCGCTGATGAGATCACAAGAAAAACACTGTAAGGAACTATACAGATGTGAGCTGTTGGGAAATGTTAGCAATGACAGAAGAGATTTGGAGGATACAAGCGAGGCAGGAGATTTCCAGGGGCAGGTATGAGCAAAGATATAGAAATGGGAAAGCAAGAGATTTGTTCTGAGAACATCAAGCAGTCCAAGTACAAATGTGAAGGGAATAGTGAGAAAAAAGGATGAAAAGATAGGCTTGTGGAGGACCCTGAATGTCAGCTTATGGAAAATGACCTTATCCTACGGGTGATGGGAAGCCCTTGAAGCTTCCTGAGCAGGGGAATGACATGATCAGAACTATGTATTAGGAAGAAGTGAACAGTGTGGTGCAGTGGGAAGAACACTGGATATGAAATCAGAAGACCCGAGTTTGCATCCCTGTTCCGCCATTTACTAAGCATGTCATCTTGGTCAAGTCTTTTCCGTTCTGGTACCTAACCTTTCTCCTTCATAGGATAAGGAAGTTCTAGTAGAGTATTTCTAAGGTCCCCTCCAGGTCTAACGTCTATGATCTTCTCACTGAATCTGGAGTCAAATGAATTGGCTTGAAATTTTGGCCCTGCAGATAGGAAAGTCATAACACCTTTCCGGGCCTCATCTAAGGGACTGGATTAGATGATTTCTAAGATTTCTACCAACTTTTAAAAAAAATTATATTTGAATTTATTTCAAACTTAAATACAATAAGAAAAAAAATACATTGCCATGCACATAGCAGAGCACGAGAGGATTCAATACAAAGCAATACATTTCCATTTCAAGAAAACCTACATAATATATATTACACACTGTTTTCAAAGTTCTTCATCTTTTATTTCCTCATATGTTTTCTTTTGTCCACTGCTGTGCACTTTTTACTTCCCCTCTCCCCTCCCCAAGAAAGTTATAATTAAGCATGATATATTTATATATGTATGTATATATAATATATATACACACATATATATATACATATCCATAAACATACGCATATATACATACACAAATGCATATATGTAAGACCATATCATACTTATTTCCATTTGTCATTTGTTTCTCTGTAGGTGGACAGCATCTTCATTTATAAGGCCAAGTCTTTCCATATATTTCTAAATCCACCAGCTCATAATTTCCTACACCACTACAATATTCTGACCCAATCATATGTATCTGGGAGAATGTCTATGAGAGTTTTTTCCCCCCAATTTTTTCCTTCATTCCCTCTATTTTTGGCTACATAGATTTTATTTATGCAGGAAAATTTTAATTTAAAATAATCAAAATTATCCATTTTACTTCTCAATACTACTTTCACCTTATAATATAGTTTAAGGTCTGATAATACTGAATCTAGTTCCTTTGTATCTTTCCCCCCTGGTTTCCTTGAAATTCCTGACCCTCTGCTCTTCCAAATGAACCCTTTTATTATTTTTATTACCTCAGTAAGATAATTTTTAAAAATAATTTTAATTGTGATGGCATTACATAAACAGATTAGTTAGGTAAAACTGTCGTTTTAAAAATTATATTAGCTTTACCTACTCATGCACAATAAATATTACTTCAATTATTTAGATCAAACTTTGTATAAAAGGTGCTTTGGGTTTATATTCATATAGTTATATTCATATAACTACTGATTAATATGGCTGACACATAGTATAGTTTCCCTATTTTTCTCTTTTGATTAAATCTGATTTTAGTTTTAACTCTGAGATCATGATTACTATTCCTGCTTCTGTACCTAATAAATTCTACTCCTGACCTTTACTTTGTTTGTGTATCTCTCATTTTCATAGCATTTCCTAAAAGCAACATATTGTTGAATTCAAATTTTTAATCTATCAGTTTCCATTTTATGAGTAAATTCATCCCATTCATATTCTAAACTATAATTACTTGTATATTTTCCTTCTTCCTGTTTTCCTCACTATCCCTCTCACCCTTTTCCTATTCCTCCTCACTCCTCTACTTCTACTCGTTACCTTGCTGTCCTATTCCTTAACCTATCCCTCCCACCAAGAATCCCTCCTATATCCTCTTCCTCCACATCATCCCCTTACCCTCTTATTTCTTTCAGAATATAGATTTTGATACCCTTCTGAATATATATGCTGTTCCTTTTTTAGCCCATTCCCATTAATCTGCAACCCCTTTTATAACCCCCTTATCCTATTTCCTATCCTTCCCTTATACTTTCCCCTTGCCCTCCTATTTTTTTCTGAATTTAGAAGACTTTTATATCCTTCTAGATATTTATGTATTGTTCCCTCTTTAACCCATTCCCAGTGAGAGTAGGGTTCCAAAATTACCCACCCTCCTCCTCCATATCAGTTCTTCCTCTTGCACCTCATTTGTATGAGATAATTACTCTTTGCCTTCTCCTACACATTTTTGCTTTTTAGAATCACATCATACTCATCTCTACCTTACTCTTTCTTTTGAACTACCCAATTACTAATGACAATCTTGGACATATGGTTTATATTTCCACCTATAAAAAGTAAAAAAATTTGTCCTTATTGAGTCCCTTGTAATTAGTCTTTGATGTTATATCAACTTTTCTATTTAGTTCTGGACTTTCTGCAATAAAATCCTGAAAGTCTGTCAATTCATTGAATGCCCCCCCCCCTTTTCCCCATTCAGGATTATACTTAACTCTGCTGGGTATGTTATTTTTGGCTGGAACCCCAGTTCTTTTACTCTTTGATATAGTTCTCCTCTCTGGCCTGGAACCAAGACCAAGAACTTAGCTCTCCTGTAAGTACCCACAGCCAGCAGCATGCCCACCCACTGCTTCTGCACTCACCAGGTATGTGCTAGTTACTTCTTGCCCAGGATCACATGTTGGCAGTCCAGCTGGGCCTAGGGTCCCTTGTCAGGAGAGGCTCCTTCAATCTTCCCCCACTAAGATGCCCAACACTGTTTGGGAGGTGAAAATTCCTGTAGCTAAGGTGGAGGCTACCTACCAACCCAGCTGCTCCAGGGTTCACTGCTCCCTGCTGTCAGCAGAACTAGCCTGGCGGTGTTTACACTTCACTCAGGGCACTGAACCCCTGTCCTGGAATCTTTCTTCTGATCTTCTCTGGTTGTCCCAGGAAGGAGGACCACTCTTTTGCCCCAACTCTTGATTATTTCTGCCGCTCTATATTGA